TATCGCAGTTTCTGTCAACTAATTTTTGGATCTGCTTCTGCCTAACAGTGTTAATCAATACGGGCAGGGGGAAATGTGTAACACGGAACGTGATATTAGAGACCCTGTCATTCGCAAGCAATCACCCCTGGTAACCATCACTTTAATTAGTTTTTATTTGGCCAGGCCACTACTCACTCTGAGTTTTGGCATTGGTTTTGAATCCTGTCAGTCCTAACAGGCCACTCAACCAGCTGCTGTCTGGGTGAAATATTCCCCTGTGTTACAGCCTTGGTGGTAAGAATTAGCTTTAGGGGTTTGTGTAGTGTGGTAGTTACCACTTTTACCTCACACACGAAAGGTCCCTGCTCCGAAACTGGACAGAAACAGCAGTGCTTCTCATTATCTGGACTGGGCGTGCTGTTACTGCTTGATAGAAGGCACTCACAGCTCTGGTGCAAAACCTTTAACTCTCTGATGGATGGGACCCTCTTGTGGTGCAGTGGTAGTGTCCCTGCCCCTGGACTGAGAGACCAATGTGCAATAACATCCCTGAACAGGTTGTTTAGAAAAATAGGTTAAGTAAAAAAAAAATTCACTTCTCTGAGGGATGAGGGATAGGGTCCTCTTGTGGCACAGTGGTGGTGTCCCTACTCCTGGACCAAAAAGCCCAAGTTCAAGTTTCACCAGCTCCACAGGTGTGTAATAACATTTCTGAACAGGTCAATTAAAAATATGCTTTAGCTCCCTAAAGAAGGTGGTTTTAAAATGAACCTACTTTGTTTCACTACAAGTGCTCTGTGTGTGCATGCGCGCGCACCCAGTGTGTCTCAGTCCTGTTGCTACTTCCTGGCCATGTCCAGTTTTTTTGCTTCTCCTTGCTGTTTCCTGAGTGAAAGGAGTCAGTGAGGTGACTGGATCTTGGGGTTGCCATGTTATGCTTCCTTATTGCTGGGCTGTGTCCCGGTGCTTAAACTGTCTACATCCCATTTGCTGTAGCATTTGCTATTTGATCCTCTCCACTTTCTGCCACGCCCTGTTTGGTTTGGGGACAGAAGAGCTGGATTTGTCTCCCCATTCCCTGTGCACCCTCTACAAGGCACAAGTCAGGAGTGTGATGGAATACTCCCCACTTGCCTGGATGGATGCAGCTCCGACAACACTCAAAAAGCTCCGCACCATATTGGGCACAGCAACCTGGTTGATTGGCACCCCATCCACTACCTTCGACATTCACTCCCTCCCCTCACTGCTGACACTCAGTAGCAGTAGTATCTGCCATTTGCAAGACAGACTGCACTAACTCACTGAGGCTCCTTTGTCAGCACCTTCCAAACCCATGACCTCTACCACTGGAAGGACAGGGATGCAGACTCACAGGAACACTGCAATCTACATGCTTTCCTTCAATTCATGCACCATCCTCAGTTGGAACTATTTTGTTGTTCCTTCGTTGCTGTTGGATCAAAGTCCTGGAATTCCCTTCATGATGGCACTGTGGGTGCACCTTCCTGTATTATATGGCTTGTAGGCACCAAAAAAACCTTTTCACTGTGGATTAACTGTGCTGTTGGTTGATATAAAGATGGCAATGGTTGTAAATGGAGCAGACAATGTTGTAGGGAGAATTAATAAAGACAAGCAAGATCTAAGAGAGCAGCTAGTGGCGAGAGTAATTAGAGCAAACAAACTTCAGGTGAATTTTGAAGGAACCAGAGGAAAATTGCTTTTACAGGGAGTTATTCTAATCAGAATGCACTGTGTAGAGGAGGCAGATTGAATAGTAAGTTTGAAATGAGAATTTAGTAAATACCTGGGCGGGGGGAGAAGTTTGCGAGGCTCTGGGGAAGGACAAGCAGAGTGGGACTAATGGATGGATTTTCCTTAAGAACCAGCACAGCTGTGATGGACTGAATAGCTTCCCTCTGTGCTAAAAATGTCTCCAATTCTGGGAGAAGAGTATTCGATGGAGGCCTATCAGACTGTTAAATAATCTGTCAGTGTTGGTAACAAGGCAATACAGCACAGGAACAGGCCTTTTGGCCCACCAAGCCTGTGCGATTCTCAATCCTTACTACATTTTACAAAACTTTTTACTCATGTGCAGTTTCTACCCCTCTGTTTGTCTCCGTTTCATGTGTCTACAAAATATGCCTTAAAAGTTGCTAATGTACCTGTATCCACCACTTCCACAGGCAGTGAGTTCCAGGCACCCACCACCCTCTGGGTGAAACATTTTCCACACATTTCTCCCCTGAACTTTCCCCCTCTCACCTTGGACCTGTGCCCTCTTGTAGTTGAAGTTTCCACCCTGGGAAAAAGCCTCTGACTGTACACTCTATCTATGCCTCTTATAATTTTGTAGACCTCTATCAGGTTGCCCCCAGCCTCTGTCTTTCTAGTGAAAACAGTCTGAGTTTTTCCAAGATAACAAGGTGTAGAGCTAGATGAACACAGCAGGCCAAGCAGCATCAGAGGAGCAGGAAAGCTGACGTTTCGGGTCGAGACCCTTCTTCAGAAATCAGAAATCAGTTTTTCCAATCTCTCCTCAAAGCTAAAACACTCCAGACCAGGCAACATCCTGGTAAACCATCTCTGCATCCTCTCCAAAGCATCCATGTCCTTCTTAGAGAGTCCAGTTGCACAGTGGTTAGCACTGCTCGCAGAACAAGGGACATGGGTTTAATTCCACCCTCGTGCGACTATCTGTGTGGAGTTTGCACATTCTCCCCGTGTCTGCATGGGTTTCCTCTCACAGTCCAAAGATATGCACGCTAGGTGGATTGGCCATGCTAAATTGCCCAGAGTGTCCAGGGATGTGCATGTTAGGTGGGTTAGCCACAGGAAGTGCAGGGTTACAGGGATAGGGCAGTTGGGTGGAATGTTCTTCGGAGAGCTGGTGTGGACTTGATGGGTGAATGGCCTGCTTCCACACTGTAGGGATTCTATGATTAAATGATTCTGGTAGTGTTGTAACCAGAACTGCACACAATATTCCAAATATGGCCTAGCTAAAGTTTTGTACAGCTGTAATATAACTTGCCAAATTTTATATTCAATGCCCTGGCTGATGAAGGCAGTGTGCTGTATGCCTCTTGACCACCTTACCCATCTGAATTGCCACTTTCACGGATCTGTGGAACTGTATACCCAGATCCCTCTGTATGTCAATGCTACTAAGTGTTCTGCCATTTATTGTATAATTCACACCTCAACTTGATCTTCCAAAATGCATCACCTTGCATTTGTCCGAATTAAGCTCTATCTGCCATTTCTCTGCCCAAATCTGCAATCTGTTTACATCCCGCTATATCTTTTCACAATCCTCCTCACTATCTGCAACTCCACCAATTTTTCAGGCATCTGCAAACTTACTATTCAGATCACCTACGTTTGCCTCCAGATCATTTATAATATACTACAAACAACAAAGGTCCCAGCACTGATCCCTGTGGAATGCCACTAGTTACTGATCTCCATTCCGAAAATCACCCTTCCACTGCTCCTCTCTGTCTTCCATGACCAAGCCAGTTCTGTTATCCATCTAACTAGCTCACCCTGGATCCTATGAGACTCTACCTTCTGTACCAGCCTGCCATGAGGTACCTTATCAAACGGCTTACTAAAGTCCATAAAGACAATGTCCACTGCCATTCCCTCATTAATTATTTTTGTCACTGAAATAATTCCACACAGGCTGGTATCCCTTCACCAAGTCCCCCTTTACCTACATGTGGAGAGTCCTTGACGCAGATCCAGCTCCCTCGGAGCCAGCTCTCAGATGGAACAGGATGTCTGACCCTCCTGTTTATATCTGTCAGCCAGGGCTCCCTGATAGGACCAGGTTAACAGCCCCAATCAGGGAACTCATATTCTATGAGATCCACCTGGCTGACCTTGTTCCAATCACTACTGTCACCTCCTCAAAAAACTCAACCACGTTGGTGAGACATGACCTTCTCTGCACCAACCCATGCTGCCTATCACTAACAAGTCCATTCACTGCTAAATGTGAATAAATCCTGTCTCTCAGTATTTTCTCCAACAGTTCCCCCATCACTGACGTCAGGCTCACCGGCCTGTAATTACCTGGAATATCTCTGTTCCCTCTTTAAACAAAGGAACAATATTGTCCATTCTCTAGTCCTCTGGAATCTCGCCTGAGGCCAAAGAGGATGCAAAGATACCTATTAAGGCCCCAGTGATTTTTTCCTTTGCCTCCCATGGTATCCTGGGATAGATCCTGTCTGGCCCTTGGGACTTGTCTACCTTAATACATTTCAAGACACCCAACGCTTCCTCCTTCATTATGTTGACCTGCCCGAGAGTATTCACATACCTTTCCCTAACCTCAACATCCCTCAAGTCCCTCTCTTTGGTGAATACTGATGTAAAGTGCTCATTAAGGATCTCATCCATTTCCTCTGGCTCCACACATAACCTCCATCCTTTATCCTTGATTGGGCCTACCCTTTCCCTGACTACTCTCTTGCTCCTAATATATGTATAAAATGCCTCAGGATTCTCCTTTACCCTGCTGGCCAAGGACATTTCATGGCCCCTTTTGGCCCTCTTAACTCCCCATTTGAGCTCCTTCTACTTTCTCTGTATTCTTCAAGGACTTCTCTTTTTTTAGTTGCCTAGACTTTTCTTTTAACTAAGCTGATAATTTCCCCTCCCATCCAGGGTTCCTGAACCCTGCCATTCCTGTCCTTCATTTTCACCGGAACATGCCTGTCCTGCACTCTAATCAACTGGTCTTTAAAAGCCTCCCACATGTCAGATGTGGATTTACCCTCCCACAGCTGCTCCCAATCCACATTCTCCAATTCTTGCCTAATTCGGATATAATTGGCCTTGCCCCAGTTTAACACCTTCACCCGAGGCCCACTCTTGTCCTTATCCAGAAGTATCTGAAAACCTATGGAATTATGGTCACTATTCCCAAAATGTTCCCCCACTGAAACTTTGATCACCTGGCTGGGCTCATTTCCCAATACCAGGTCCCCTTCCTCATTTTGGAAAATGTGAGCTTAATGAAATAACTAGCCAATTCCACACTGTAAAATCTCTCCGGGAAATTCTATTAATTCTACTTCACTTTTTCTATTCTGTTATTCTGAAGGTTATCACCGAATGGGGATTAAATGGAACTTATGTTCTAGAAGCTGGTGCAGTGACTGGTGCTACATTTTCTGTTGCCATCAAAGCTGTCCTCGGTTGGTCAATGATCAAGGTTTCCTGCTGTTTTGGACAGGGTCTACACGAAAGAAGTAAGTTGGCATCTTTCAAGCCTTCAAATGTTAATGGGGTAATTAGATAGCACCTTCCAAAGCTCTGCCACTCAGAAGGAAATGGGTAAACAAGAACACTGTGTTCCCCTCCGTGTCACTCCCCATCCTGACTTGGAAATATATCACCGTATCTACACTGTGGCTGGGTCAAAATCCTGGAACTCTATCTCTCTCTAACAGCATAGTGGGCATACCTATATCCCATAGACTACAGCAGTACAAGAAGATTCAAGTTGACTTATTGCAAATAAGATGAGCTATAAAAGTCTTGCTGCAATTGTACAGGCAGTGTTGAGATCATACCTAGAGTACTGTTTACAGTTTTGGTCTCCTTATTTAAGAAGGGTCAGACTTGCATTAGAAGCTGTTCATTGAATCCCTGCAATGTGGATGCAGGTCAATTAGCCCATTAAGTCCACACCAGCCCTCCTAAGGGCATCCCACCCAGACCCACACCATCTCTGTAACCCTGCACTTCCCAAGGCTAACCCACCGAGCCTGCTTATCTTTGGACTGTGGGAGGAAACTATGGGGAGATCATGCAAAGTCCATACAGACAGTCGCCTAAGAGTGGAATCAAACCTGTGTCCTAGGCACTGTGAGGCAGCAGTGCTAACCACTGAGCCACCATGTTGCTGTGTTCACTTGGCTGATTGCTTGGTTAAATGAATTGTTTTATGAGCGAAGTTTGGGCCTGGACCCATTGGAGTTCAGGAGAATGAGAAATGATCTGATTGATACATGTCCAATTCTGAGGGGAGCTTGACTGTGTAGATGATAAGAGGAGAGTTCCCCTTCTAGGGGAGTTTAGAATTTGGGAACATGGTTTAAAAATAAGGGTCTCCCATTTAGGATGGAGATGAGGAGGAATGACTGTTCTCAGATGGTTGTTGATTTTTTTCGAATTTGATCTCCCAGAGAGCAGAGCAGGCTGTGTCATTGAATATAACCAAGGCCAAGTTAGACAACAAAGGAGTTAAAGGTTATGAGGGGAAGGCAGGAAAGTTAAGGCCATAACAGGATTACCCATGATCCTATTCAATGGCAGAACAGGCCCAGAGGCCAAATGGCTAAACACGGCTCCCATATTTTTATGATCTTGAGATCTTAGGGGACTTACCATCCTTCTTATCAAGGGCAATTAGGGAGGGGCAATAAATGCTGGCCAGCCTAGTGATGTCTACATTCCACAAATAAGTCAAAACACAGAAATACCTGAACTGTACTGGTGCCAAGGCAGGGACAAGAGCCAAAGGGAATTTTTGGTGCTGCTTTTTTCCAAGTATTTTATGCAAAGCTATTGGGATACTGGAGATGTACTAAACTGCTCAAAAAGTGAGATGCTTGTGAGAGCAGCAGTTGCTGTGAAGGATGACATGACTGTGTTAGCCATCTGAGGCCAGTGTAGACTATTCATATGCCTGACACACAACTCTCATGATTCTGGAACTTTCTATTCTTATGTATAGATCTGGAAAATATGTGCTCTCTGTTCATGAGCCATTGTGAGTTTGAGAGAGGTCATTGCAGTGTCACGTCTCTTGGTCTTGTGGTTTTGCTTCTGAGTTGGATATGAAGCGGTTAGAGATAGCTGTCTCCTTGTGGAAGCATTGATCCTGACCTTGGCACTTGGCTTTAGGGGGTCATGAAGGAGGCACCGTTCTCCTGTGGACCAGTGATGTCGATGTGCTTTGTGTAGTTTTGAAGAATTCTGGTGGTTTCAGTATTAGACCATTAGAGGGAGGCATTCTACAATTCCAACTTCAACTTGTGTTCAACCAGGAGCACCAGCTGGAGGGACCAGTGATACCAGGATCTGTTTTTGACAGAAAAAACAAGCAGTTGGCAGATCATTCCCAGTCTGTTGGAAGTTCATCATAGGATGAAAGAGCACCAGTGAGAGGCCTGTTAATAGAGACAATTTCTGGAAAATGTCTGGTTAAAATATTCAGTTCCTTTGTGAGTAAATGATCCTGTGATTATGTTCACACAATCACAGAATTGTTATGGTGCGAAAGGAGGCCATTTGGCCCATTGTTCCTGCAACAGCTCTTCAAATGAGCATCATTGCCAATCTCCTGCTTTTCTTCATATCCTTGCTCATTATTTTCTCCAAGTAAGCATCCAATTCCCTCTTGATTGCTTCATTCAAACCTGCCCCATCCATATTTCCTGGCAGTGCCTTCCAGACCCGAATTATTCACTGTGGGATAATGTTTTACCTCACATCACTGTTGCTTCTTTTGCACATCACTTTAAATTCGTGCCCCTCTTGTGCTTGGAGACAGTAAGAACTGCTGCTGCTGGAGCCTGAGATAACACGGTATGGAGCTGGAGGAACACAGCAGGTCAGGCACCATCAGAGGAGCAGGAAAGCTGACGTTTTGGGTCGGGACCCTCCTTCTTGTTCCTTTCATGAAGGGGAGGAGCTTGTCCCTGTTGAGAAGATTGAACCTTTAACCTTGGTCTTTGTGGGGAGCTGTGGCTTTTCAGATGGATTGAAAACAGATTTGTCTTTCAAACTATTACCGAAGACCAAAGATCACTAAATACAGACTGACCCAATAAAAATCTACATCAAATAACATCATCTCGTAGGCACTCATTACTATAAATATTCTGTTTATTTTTAGGATTCTTTAGTCGATGTTTAACTTCATTGATAATTTGCTTTAATTGGTGAGGAATGCTATGTCCAATTCCAGCCTCCCAGTTATAGGAAGTATATTATTAAGCTGGAGAGGGTTCAGAAGAAATATATCAGGATGTTGCGTGGTACGGAAGATCTGAGGTAAAAAGAAAGGCTGGATAGGCTGGGACTTTTTCACTGGAGCATAGGAAGTTGAGAGGTGATTCTACAGAAGTTGATAAAATATTGAGGGGTATAGATAGGGTTGATGGTAGTTGTCTTTTCCCTAGGATGGAGGTTTTCAAAACTAGGCAGCACATTTTTAAGGTGAGAGTGGAGAGAATTAAAAAAGACATGAGGGGCAAATTGTTTACACAGAGAGTGGTTCATGTGTGGATTGAACTTCCTGAGAAAGTGGTGGATGTGGGTAAGGTTACAACATTTAAAAGACATTTGGATAAGTACATGAGTAGGAAAGGTTTGGAGGGATGTGGGCCAGAGGCAGGCAGGTGGGACTAGTTTAGTTTGGGGTCATGGTTGGGATGGACTGGTTGGGCCGAAGGGTCTGTTTCCATGCTGTATGACTCTCTGACCTTGTGACTGTAGGTATGCTGTAACTGATTTCGTATCAAGTCAAAAGACATAGGAACTTGATGTTTTTGAACCAGAAAATAAACCTCTGGGTTTGAAGTTTCTCGGCTGTTTTAATGAGTTGATTAATGTGTTCAGGTGAAATTTCTTAAAAAGGTGATCAGAAATTTCATCCAAACACAATTTATTCTCCTACCTCTGAGTGTGCGAGTCAGTATTTCTAAGTTAATCTTTTGCGACGTGCTGTCATCATAATTGCTTTTGTGAAGCTGGTGGTCAGCTGCCTTCTTGACTACAACTTGCCAGACCATTTTAGAGTTAGTCACATAGTGGTGGGTTCTTGAGTCATATCTAGGCCAGACCAGATAAAGCAGATTTCCTTCCCTAAAGAATATAAAGGAATCAGATGAATAAGACTCCCAGACATAGGAGAGAAGTGGGCCATTCAGTCCATCAAATCTGCTCCACCACTAATAAGATCCTGGCCAATCTGGTAGTTTCAGGTTACCGTTGTTGGTACTTGCTGTTTATTCCAGATTTTTAAAACTATTTAAATTTAACTTTCCCAATTGTCGTAGTGGGATTTGAACTCATGTCTCTGGATCAATGGGCCTGTAACAACTCTGCCACTATATCTCCTGTGGAAGAGACCACTAATGAGAAAATAGACACTGCTTTAAACCTGGGACCATACAATAAGCTGTTTGCAGCTGTTTACTAAGTCATCAAAGCTAACAATTTAAATACAACAATCTATCTTTTCTCAGCTTTGTGTTGGTTTTGTTGAGTTTCTTGGCAGGTTTCTCTCTGTGAGGCTGAGCGAGATCTCTCGCCATAGATTACCCAACTCACCTCATTAGCCGTCCAGGCTGCCCCTATAGAACCCACCTCTCTATCTCCCAATTCTAGCTCCACCATACCACCTGCAGCACCTGGAACTGCCTGGATAGCTCGGAATGGACCAGCATCCCTAGTACTGGCGCCATCTTTAAAAAGCCATTGAGCACCCAAACCCCCTCTGTCAGTCTGGAGCTACCCTGCTCAGTTGCTGACATTTGCCCCATGCACAGTGAAGGAGGGATAATCGATGCCCCAGTGTGAGGGCAGGAACCTGGAACTCCTGCTGGATAGGGGTTAGTACAGAGCAGGACGTCCTCTGCCCAACAGAGGAGGCCCCAACACCAGACCAGTCTGGTTTGAGGTTACCCCTCTGGGTCAGTGCAGTCCCAGCGTCTGGTGGAATGGCCAGTGCTATAGGAAGATGGTCAATGACCTTCTCCACTCCACCTGGGTAAGTGCTGCCATCTTCTCTATGTTACCTCACACTCTCTCCATCTCTGATACTATACCCACCTCCCATGCAGGCTCGCACTCTCCCACTCTCACTATTGAACACAACATCTTCTCTCTGTCACCCTCACCCACTCCATCCCCCATGACTCATCCTGCCTGCCCTCTGTGCTGCCCACACGCTGCACCAACAGTAACAGCTGTGCCATCCACTTCCATTTCCCATAATATCCATCTCTGTCTCATTCCAGGAGGGAAACAGCCCCACAGTGGGGACAGAAAGGGTCCACATGGGCAGTGGGAAGCCCAACATTCACCCCCTCACCCTCTATGTGGAGAGGATCCTGACTCTGCCCACCCCGAGGGGCTGACTGGCAGTGCCCAAGCCCCTGGACTGGTCTTGGAGGCTGCCCTTGCCTTACTGTGTTGGCAGCCCCTGGGTGAAGGCTATGCCCCTCGCCCTGACTGAGTCCTGCTGATAACCGAGACAAGCTTCCTGGCTTTGTGTCTATGCTAAACAGCCCAGCGATACAGCAATATTGTGAGCCTGGTGTCTCTGGCTGAGGGACAAGGCACAAAACAACAAGGTAAGGCAGGAATGCTGTGGGTGGGCATCGGAGTAGGCTCAGAGTGAGTGAGGGCTCTGACAGGGAGTGAGGATCCCGGAGATACAGCCTGGGGCAGTCCTTGAGCTGGGGGGAGTGTGGTGGGGTGGGGGCGGTGTGTCCCTTAGCACACAGTGCGCTTGCTACAGCGTTACAATGAGAGTTACTGGGGCAACCCGAGGGGCAGCATTGAAGGGCAAAGTGTCCTGTAAGTGGGTCAGATATGGGTCGTGAGGGTTCATAGAGGCTGGCACATGTCGGATGGTAATGTCCATGCATGTGGGCTGTGTGAGGCTGGTGCCCATGGAATGTGCCCCTGAGATGCTGGTGCCTAGTGACCAACATGGAGCTCCTTCAGAGCAAGCAGCGAGCTGCAGTGCCCCTGTACCCACTGTGACCCACTCTGTGTTGCGAATTCTTGGGGTCTAGTTTGCTCACAGTGACAGGATAGAAAGCTGCATATTAATGAGATGAGATGTGCAGTTAATGAATTCATTAATGAGCAATTATCCCCCTTCAGAGGCAGTTTGCTGCTGCCCAGCCAGAATCTTAATGTCCGGTGCTTTGCTAAAGGATGTAGCAAGTTGTTCCCAATGTTGGGATAATCCTTGCGTCCCCACAATCGTGCCACTTTTCTCCCAGAGCCCACATCATTGAGGGCCCTGTGAGATTCCATCCTGTGGAATAATGCAATCTGTTTTTGTGATTTTGGATTGGTGATACAGAACTGTGTTCCTCCAGCTATTTGTTTTCCTTTCGCTCATAATATTTGTGTTTTGTATGTTTTTCTTTATGTCTGTGTGAGTTTGAGTTGTGTGTGTGTGTGTGTGTGCGCGCGTGGGTGCATGCGTGTGTGTGTGCACGTGTGTGTGAGTGCGTGTGTGTGTGCACACGTGTGCGTGGGTGCGTGTGTGTCTGTGTGAGTTTGAGTTGTGTGTGTGCGCGTGGGTGCATGTTTGTGTGCATGCGTGTGTGTGTGCGCGTGTGTGTGCGTGCGAGCGCATGTGTGTGCATGTGTGTATCTATGTGGTCATGAATATACAGTAAATTTTAACTGACATAAAATAGAAATCCTATTCTTCGTCTGTTCTTGCTAAAGCTTAGAGTTTTTAAAATTGCTACTGAGGGAACCTGGTGTGGTTTGCTTTTATCTAGGGGGAGCAGTAGAGGCAAATTGCAATTTGTTGCTGTTTCATTAAATCTCCGCCTTGCTGTGACTCCGGGAGTACTGAGGCTTCGTCCCAGTGTCACTGTCTCAGTGGGTCATGGCAGCAAATCAATGAAAACCTAAATTTGTTCAATGCTGTTGCAGCCTTCAGTAAACATGTTCCCTGAGAATAAAGAAGGCATTGAGCAGGGACATGGTCCATGAACCTTTGTGATTCCTGCTGCTTCCTGGAACTAAAGACAGTGAGAAAGTCGGTGACATTGAAATTTGAAATAGGCCCCAGAACAAGTTAATCTCCAGAGACGGATTTTTTTTTTCACTCGTTATGTAAGTGCTGCCCCTGCACAGAACATTCTTGAGGCATGTTGAATTCCTGAATTAGTATGGTCTCAATCCCCCTCACATATCGAGCGAGAGAGATTTCTGTGCTGTGGGAATCTCTGCATTGCCTGCACCTTCCAAACATTTCTCAGTTTGTGTTAAAGTTTCGATCAGCGTTTGGAAAGGCAGGATCAATCACGGTGTTTCATCATGTGTTATATACCTTGTCTCTACACACAGGAAGGAATCAAAGCTGCCTCTCTCAGTCCGAAATTACCTTGAGCTTTTTACAGGGGAATCATTGCATGGCTGTATTAATCAGGGAGGTGATGGCCTAGTGGTATTGTCGCTGGCCTGGTAATCCAGAATCACCAGTAATGTTCTGGGGACTCAGGTTCAAATCCTGCCACAGTAGACGGTGGAAGTTGAAACCAATAAAACAAAATTCTGGAATTAAAAGTCTAATGATGACCATGAATCCATTGCTGATTGTTGGGGGGAAAACCCATCTGGTTTGCTAATCCCCCTTAGGGGAAGGAAACTGCCATCCTTACCTGGTCTGGCCTATATGTGACTCCAGACCCACAGCAATGTGCTTGACACTTAATTGCCCCCCTCTGGGCAATTAGGGATGGGAAAGAAATGCTGGTTTGGCCACATCCGGTGAATGAATAATAATAAAAGTCCTCGTAATTACTGCTCATTCAAAACATTTCTAATTATAATTTTGTTTTTTTTCCCATTTTTCTCTTTTCTTTCCTAGTGTTTAATCGCACGGAACCATTGCCCTAGGCCTGGGATATCTGCAAAGGTAAACATGACAGCTTCCTTTATCACTGTCATCCAACACCAGGTTATAGTCCAATGGGTTTATTTGGAATCACACAAGTTTTTGGAGTGTAGCCCTTTTGTCAGGTGTGCTCAGAAAGCTTGTGTGATTCCAGATAAACCTGTTGGACTATAACCTGTTGTCGTGTGATTTCTGACCTTGTCCACCCCAGTCCAACACCGGCACCTCCACATCATCATTGCCATCCCACACACACTCATTGGGAATTTTTTGGCTGCACTGGGTATCTTTGGGCTCAGAGTTAACCATCAATAAAGATAAGATATCAATCTCATACTTTTCACAAATGGCAGATACAAGGGTAAATTCACTGATTTCACCCAATCATGAGGAAACAAGGATCAGGGCTGCAGGGATATAGTGCTATCTCTATTTAGTTTAGACCCTTACTGAGAAGATTTTATCGGTGAGATTATCTTATTTTATATTGTACTCCTGTAAATTTGCATGCTGAACTTGAAAGTAGTAAATTATGAAATTAAATGTATTTAATGGACAGCAATATTGACTGGACTTTAAGTAATTATAGAGTCATTAAGGTACAAAAGGCCATTCAGCCTATCGGGTCAATACTGGTTCTCTGTAGAGTAATCCAGTCAGTCCCATTCTCTCACTCTATCCCCATAGTCCTTCGGTTTATTTCTGTCAGGTGCCTGTCCAAATTTCTTTTGAAACCATCGTCTCAGCTCTCACTGTCCCCATGGAATCATTACCACTCACTGCATCAAAATGGTTTTCCTCCAATCCCCTTCTGCATTCCATGTCCAGAACCTTAAATCTGGGTCCCTCACACTTGTTACCATCAGACAACGAGAACAACTTGCTCTTGTCCATGTTGTTTAAAGCTATAAACTTATTGACCTCTTTCAAATCTCCCCTCCATGGAGAACATCCATCTTCTCCAATAAACCTTGTCACTAAATTGCCTTAACCCTGGAACCACTCTGGTAAAACTCCTGCGTACTTTCCCAAGGAGCCTCACATCCTTCCTAATGATTGGTGACTATGTCTGGATTCAGTACTCTAGTTGTGGCTTAACCAGGCCTCGCTAATGATTTAATGTAACATCTCTGCTTTTGTTCCAATCCTCTATTTATGGAGCCAAGATCCCATTTGCTTTGCTAATGACTCAGTTAATATCTTTGCCACCTTCTGATCGATCCACTCCTCCCCCCCCAAGGTCCTTCTATCCCTGCAAGCTGCTCACAGCTGTGCTATTCTGTCAGATATTTCTAATCAACCTGTTGGATGTTATTACACACCTCTGGGGCAGGTGGGATTTGAATTCAAGCCCATTTGAGTCTTTATTTTGATTCTAGATATTGCCCTAATCAACCTGTTTAGAAATATTATTAAACATTTTTGGAGCAGGCAAGACTTGAACCTGGGTCTCCTGGTTTGGAGGTAGGGTCACTACCTTTGCACCCTATTCAGTCTATGTTCTCCTTCACTATTTCTCCTGCCAAAAAAGCATCACCTCACACTTCTCTGTATTAAATTCCATTTGCCCCTTATCTGATAGCCTATCTGAGTGCTGCTGCAGTTAACTGGTATCATCCACGTTATTTACAATCCTCCAAGTTTGCTATTATCAGAAAATTTTGAAATCCTTCTCTGAATTCCAATAGCCAAATTATATGTAAAAAGAAAGCAGTCTGCCTACTGCTGACTGTTTGGGAACACCACTGTCTGCCTCTGTCATCATACAGACTGAAGTAAACCATCCACCACTGTCCTTGAGCCTTTTATTTTGATCCAAGCAGATACTTACATTTGTAGCCCATGAGCCTCCGTTTTGTGAACCAGCCTGTTATGTAGCACTTTGTCAAATACTTTCTTAGAATCCATAAAGGAGACATCCACTGCACACTCTTCATCAACTTTCACTGTTATTTCATCAAAACATTCAATTGAAATTAGTCAAGTAGGTTTCAGTTCTGTGAAGGCAATTATTTTTAAAGAGGTTGGAAAGTCATCTTGAACAGTGACTAAATTAGATTATTTCCAAGAAAGCATGTGATTCAGTTAAGTGTCGAGAAAAATAGTGCTAATTGCTGAAATGTGTTAGTGCTGAATTTACAACAGATAAACAGACAAGGGGGCACTAGTTTTGTTTTGATTTCAGTTCAGAAGAAGCAGGAGCTCAGTTCAGGAGAACAATTTCCCCCCAGCAGAAGAATCAGGTTTTAGATCTGGAGAACAGTTTTCACCCTGGCAGAAAAGATTTAGTTTATAAAGTCTCTAAACTGTGAGAAGTTGTATCAAAATTTCCAAATTGTCAGAACTGAAAGGAGGTTCAGACTATCAAACTAGCTCACCATTTCAAGAAAGAGAACTGGAAAGAGTCAGTTAAGTAAGAAATTAAAAAGTTGAGATCAGAGTGATAGAGTCATACATGGAAACAGACCTTTTGGTCCAACTCGGCCATGCCAACCAGGTTTCCCATTTTTGAGTTCCCCTTTATGTTTCCTGCTATTTTGTTCTTTTGTTTTTGTTTTTACCAGTTTTATTCCCCTCTCCATGTTGCTGGGCTATTATGGTCCTTCAGGTGAAGAGGTGAATGTGACGATGGGATTGAGCATGAGTCAATGTAGAGGTAGCTCTGAATTTGTTAAAAGGACCAAACACTGAAAAATTACTTACGTCTTTCTCAGGTTCTTTATCAATGCTGTAACTACCTAATGCCTTCACACTTTTTTGAGTGACATTATCGAATCTTCCCTTGAAAAGAGATGAAGAGTCTTCTAGACTTGAAACATTAGCTTGTTGTCTGTCCATGGATGCTCTCTGACGCACTGTGATCTCCAGCATTTGTTGTTTTCAGTACAGATTGCAGCATCTGCAGTAATTTGCTCCTACACGAGGACAATCAATTTGGAGCAATGTGTTTAGCAATAACGAACATATCTATTTTTATATCATAAAGTCTATATAAAGCGCTAATTTCTGAAGCTGAAAATTTGAGAACTGGTATATAGTTTGTTGGAATAACTGAGTTATTATTGAATATATACATTTTGCATCTTATTTTGTTGATATATTCCGAGCTTTGATATAGATTGTACTGCACATGTTGAACAGAACCAGGGTTATCAAATTCAAACACTGTGATCACATTTGGAGTTATAATCAGTTCATTCCAGTTAGAATTGGACATGGTTCAATTTGTCGATTATGAAATTAATTAACAGTGGAATTAATTATTCTTTGTTAATAATTGAGCCATGTTGTTATATGATAGCAGGACAGGTCAAGGGGACAAATGTCTCACACTTGCTGTATTCGTTATGTTCTTATGTTGCAGCCCAACAGGCACAATTGGAAATGTACTCTAAGTATTGTCTTTGGAACACCACACATTTGTATGAAATGACTGTCAGTACTAAGTGGGTTAACAGTGATACTAAATTATTGGACACTGTAATATTTATTCGCTAATATTGCAATGAATAGGTTGGTATTTCCTGTTGAATTATCATTGAATGATTACAGTTTCATTCAGAACCATTACCGGCTGCCTGCACTCACTTGGCTCAAGGTGAATGAGAGTGGAAACAGACTATGGGACACTGGATTTTCCAGGTGAATGGGACGGGGAACAGAAACAGGAGGATCCCAGAAATGGGTGGGGTGTCAGTTACAGGACTCCATGCTCAATGCTGGACATTTTGATAGAAATAGGTTCAAAACCTGACAAAACTGTCCCATGAGACAAGTAGGCAACTCAACTCCTAAACAGCCTTATTGAAAATGAATTTAGGAGGTTGACTGGGATTCTTAGTGGCGCTGAGGGCAAATTAACTACCTGAGACAGCAGGCCAAGAGTGTGCAACACTCCTGACAGGTCAATAGATCATCCGCGCCTGCCTGGCTGGGAGTAGAGCTAAAAGCACGCCCCCATGGAGAGGCTATTGCTTTGGGTTCTTTAAAAATTGCATCACAGGTAGACAGGGTGGTTAAAAAGGTGCTTAGCACACTTGCCTTCATTGCTCAGACAACTGAGTATGGGAGTTGGACATCATATTGCAGCTGTACAGGATGCTGGGGAGGCCACTTTTGGAGTACTGTGTATATGTGTGTGTATATATTTTTTCCTTTATTCATATACAGGATGAGGGCATCACTGGATAGGCAGCATTTATTGCCCATCCCTAAGAGTCAACCACATTGCTGTGGGTCTGGAGTCACATGTAGGCCAGACCAGGTAAGGATGGCAGTTTCCTTCCCTAAAGGACATTAGTGAACCAGATGGGGTTTTCCCGACAATCAACAATGGATTCATGGTCATCATTAGATTCGTACTTCCAGATATTTTATTGGATTCCAATTTCCAATTCCACCATCTGCTGTGGCACGTTGCCTGTGTGTGTGTGTGTGTGTGTGTGTGTGTGTGTGTGTGTGTGTGTATACTTCAGCAGGGGAGTCATAAAGTCATACAGCACAGAAACAGACCCTTCAGTTGAACTGTGTACAGTTCTGGTCACCCTGCTATAGGAAAGATATTATTAAATTGGACAGGATGCAGAAAAGATTTACCAGGATGTTATCAGGAATGAAGGGTTTGAGTTATAAGAAGAGGCTGGATAGGCTGGGACTTTTTTCACTGGAGCGTAGGAGGTTGAAGGGTGACTTTATAGAGGTTTATAAAATCATGAGGGGCATAGATAAGATGAATAGCACAGGTCTTTTTCCTCGGGTGGGCAAGTTCAAAACTAGGGGGCATATTTATAAGATAACAAGGTGTAGAGCTGGATGAACACAGCAGGCCAAGCAGCATCAGAGGAGCAGGATAGCTGATGTTTCGGGCCTACTTCCTGCTATCTCTGGGCATATTTTTAAGGTGAGAGAGGAAAGGTTTAAAAGGGACCTTGAGGGGCAACTTTTTCATGCAGAGGGTGGTCCATGTGTGGAATGAACTGCCAGATGAAGTGGTGGATGTAGATACAGTTACAACATTTATAAGACATTTGGACAGGTAAATGAATAGGAAAGGTTTAGAGGGATATGGGCCAAATACAGGGAAATGGGACTAGTTTAGTTTGGGAAACTTGGTCAGCATGGACAAGTTGAACTGAAGGGTCTGTTTCAATGCTGTATGACTCTGTGACTCCCCTGCCGAACCAAACACACACACACTTTCACACACACATATATAGATACACACGCACACACACACTGATAGGCACACACACTCACACAGTGACACCCTGACTGATTTTTCTGCTTTTTAATTGTATTATGTTTAAAAGTCACCATAAGCACACCTTTTTGATGGACAGTACTTGACTGGGTCCCACTCCTAGGAATAAGGGCCAATCACTGAAGCCTGAGATTAGGAGGAACCTTTTCACTCAGAGGGTGGTGAATCTTTGCAGTTCCTGACGCAGCGAGTTATGGATGCTCCATCGTTGAATATATTTAAGTCTCAAAGACGTAGTTCTTTGGTCTCTTGGGAAGTCAAGAGATATGGTTACTGGGTGGGAAATTGGAGGTGAGGTAAAGGTCAACCATGATCGATGGCCTGAATGGTCTCCTGCTCCAATTCCTGGTGATCTTGTTGAAGTCCCTCATGGATCCGCACCTTCTCCTGCAGCCCAAGTGCACCTCTGAAACCGGAAGATTCAACAGATCACTGCTCCATTCTGTCACTGCGTGCAGAATGTACAACTGGGTCAAACACCCAAACCTTAATGTTGAGACACTGCGCGTGCACTGTTCGGATAAGGCTGAGGCTGCAGCAGTATGGTGGAGGTTGGGGGGTGAGTGGAGGCAGCAGGGCTGTGCAGTTGGGGAAGACAGAAACCTTTAAAGGGCTACAAGTTCTCCTCACATGCAGACAAAAGGCCTTCTTTCAGAGGACAGTCTGTGTCTGTGTGGAGCAGCACAGTGGCTCAATGGTTGGCACGGCTGCCTCACAGCGCCAGGGGCATGGGTTCGATTCCAGCCTTGGGTGACACTGTGTGTGGAGTTTGCACATTCTCCTTGTGTGTGCGTGGGTTTCCTCCCACAGTCTAAAGATGTGTAGGTTAGGTAGATTAGCCATGGGATGTGCAGGATACAGGGATAGGGTAGTGGGGTGTGCCTGAGTGGGATTGCACTTTGGAGAGTCAGTGATGACTTGATGGGCCAAATGGCCTGTTTCCACACTGTAGGGATTCCATGACTGAACAATGAAACCAATGCGGTATGCATTGTGGGCTCTCCTAGGGCTAGCATGGGAATGATGGCTGGAATTTCTGGGATAGAATTGGAAAGGAAAGCTCTTACAGCTGAGGAAGCCTTACCTGGTAAGGTCAGGAAATTCCCGTTTCTCTGAATAATGGCATTGAGGCGTTCAGTTGTATTAATGATGTCATTTGGATTTTACTTCATTTCCTTTTGTCAATAATTAATGTCTTGATCAAGAATTGAATTTGTGTGATCCCTGTGTGCTACTTACAAGAAGAAATCACTGAGCTTTGAGTTTTTGTGATTGAGGTGAATTGATCAAGTGTTTAGAAAAGCAGAGCAATGAGATCAGATTTGGACTATACAGAATTGTTAGGCATCTGTTACATCAACATCATGTTCACTGTTACTTGGTTCTTGACATCTAACTGAACAGAAAGATTCCAAATTTTTAACAGTTGCATTCACCTTATTCCAAATAAATTACTATTTTAAGGCATCAAGTGACTGATGCAAAGAAGATGACAGAAGAGGGTAACAGTCACACTCGAGCTGCCGAGCGTGTGTTTGGCATGTTCCTCATTGTGTTGTGCTGGCCCATTTTGGTACAGGTTAATGCACTAAACAGGTTGGTCCTGCATTCTCCCCTTGGTATTCTCAATGTTGTGTCTGTAACACACCCGAAACTATTGGACATCAATGAAAAAGACACCTAACCATGTTGGGGTAGATAACTTGAAGCACCTTACAGGATTAAATTTCAGTTTGGTTTTGGATCTAGTGTCAGATTCATTCTCTCAGCTGGGAAATGGCTGAATGAGAGAATGTTTCCAGCCAGTCCCACTCCCAATGCCCTCTTCCCCTTGTCAATCCCTTCCCTTCAGAAGCTTGTCCAGTTATCTCCTGAAAACCACAATTAACCCAGCCGCCACCACTTCTTGGGTATTCTAGATGCTGCTCACTCACTGGGTAAATGTTTCTCATCATCTTGCTAGTATTTCTTTTGCCAATCACCTTAAATTGATATCCCATCATCTTCTACCTTTCCACCAATGTTTCTCTCTCTATCCAGGCCCCTCATGATTTTGAACAACTCTACCAAGTCTCCTCAGGTTTCTCGCTGTTAACTGAAACCCCTCATTCCTCAGAAGGAAGGTGGGGAGGGGGTTGCTCAGAGCAATTGCCCAGAAAGTAAACCATGCTTTTGGGGGAGGGTGAGACGACGTGGAACCTCACTGCAAAGACACGTGGAGATAACCCCTGGGAGTCAATCTCGCGACTGGCTGCATCACTAACTGATGAGACACTGAACAATGGATTGTTTATAAGGTCCTGCTCCTGGTGTGGAACCTCACTGCAAGGTCACAAACACAGTTCCGAGGAAGGGTCACCCGACCCGAAACGTTAACTCTGCTTTCTCTCCACAGATGCCAGACCTGCTGAGCTTTTCCAGCAATTTTTGTGTTTTTTTTCTCAGAAACGCAGTAAAACAGTTCTGGAGGATTTCCAGTTCAAGGAGGCTGTGGTCTTGGAGTCACACATAAAACTAACCTCCACAAAGGGGATTCCTGACCCAGTCCAAATCATTTCCTGCACTTATTGGGACATATAAATGTTCAAAGCAAATGTAGCAGATAAGGATTAAACTACACTATGAACTGTTCTAGCTTTTGGTGTTGATTGAGAGTGTTAGTATGATATTGGGACCTGGATTTGAGTAAAATTCAGCTCAGCATCTGTGAACTCCATTTAATGAACTCATTGAAATGCTTTGCCTAACCACTTTGTGAACGAATGCACTGATTGTAACTTTACACCAGAATTATTTTTTAAATAAAGTGTTTTTTTTTCCCAAGGACGGTGGTGAATGCAATATTGTCTCAAGTATTTGCGTGTGAAAGCCTTATTGCAGCTTTTTATTTGGGGATGTCACGATTGGAACAGATGTGGCTGTGAGAAAAGATCGATATGGGTTTCAGTGTTGGTTACATGTCCCAGTGATGTTTACAAGAACAATAACAACTTGCATTTGTGTAGCCACCTGTGACATTGAACAAAATGTTGGAAGGTGCTTTTCAGGGATGTAATGAGATAAAAGATCCAGGAGATAGTTCAGGACATGTTATCAAATGGTAGTTAAGGTGGCAGGTTTAAAGGAGCACATTAACAGGGGAAGAAAATGATGCAGAGTTGGTAGAATATTGTACAAAGCTAAGCCACTGCCCCCTTGTGGTGGGATGAAAAGAGAGCAGGGTGCTTAAGTCCTAAATTAGAGAAGCTCCACAGATACCTCACAACAATGTGGGACTAAAGTTGCTAATCCAAACTGATGATAAACTGGGAGTTAGGTGAACAAGTTTTCCTTTGTCTATATGACGGAATGGGTATTTTGAATATTTAACCAATATGGTATGAAGAGAAAACATGATGCAGCCTTGGTAGAACTTAAATCCTAACCCTGACTATAACTAGGTAAACTTTTACAGCAGAAACACGACATTCGGCTCAACGTGTACTTGCTGGTGTATATGATGCAGACAAACCTCCTCTATAAATATATCCTTCTATTCACTTTCTCCCTTATGTACATCATCATTAACTCCCCTTGGAGGCAAACAATCTTTGAACCACAGATTCCCCATAAAATAACAACAATTGCTGGGAATTTCCTCAGTTCTTCTGATCACCTACTGTCAGACAGTTCCCCTGTATTCTGAATTCAACTTACACCTGGTAAAGAGTTTGAATCAACAGTCTTCTGACCAGAGGCAAGTGTAACACATTCATTCACGGGATGTGGGTGGTATTAGCAAGGTCAATATCAAGAATTATCTTAACTGAGCCAACCAGACAT